AGAATTCCACCCAACGATTTGTGCCAAAGCCCATAACTTCTGGATGAACTATGGTGTGTCTTTGAGACTAACATCTAGTCTTGATTTCAAATTATCCAGTGATGGAGAATCCACCACAGCCCTTGGTTAGTTCCTCCAGTAACTAATTACCCTATTAAAAACTTGCACCTTAGTTCTGGTCTGAATTTGTCTAACTTCAGCTCCCAGACGTCGGAACTTGGTCTTTTTCTGCTAGCTTACGGAGTCGACTATCAGAAACCTGATGCCAATCTGGTCGGGCAAGAAGCTTGTGCACATTGATCCAGATAAACCCTGGCCATTCCCATTGAGCAGCCTCCAGCTCCAGAGTACAATGAGTTCAGTATTACCCTGTCCAGATGGAATGGCAGGCAGGTGGCCGCTGTCAGAGACTTGGGATGCCTAAGAGCTGTGAACTCTTGCACAGCAGTAGCTGCTGTGTGTTTTGAGCCCTTAAGAAGCCTCCATGGGGATGTTGTGACATTACGCTTGCAATGAAGCTGTGGATCTGTAGCACCAGGATTCTATCAATTCTATTGTACGGTGATGAAAAGCATGAGCTGAAGATGATTGAACAGCAGCAGACTGAAGTTTTTGTTGTCTTTGTTGACTGCTCTATATCAAGTGGCAGAACAATGAGGACATGTGTCACTGGACTCAGCGACCGGAAATCAGCTCTCTCGTTTGATTTCAGCAGCTTTCGTGGTGCAGACACATCATTAGAATGGAAGACCAACAGATTAGGAAGCTGATTTACCAAGGAATGACATTCACAGTCAGCAATCACATAGTCACCAAAAGCAGGGATTTGCCATCACGACAATGACAACATCCACTCAGATAATGGTAATTTTTTAACAGAATATCAAAGGGACAGAGTCAGAAACCTAAGTATATTGTGTCAGCAGTTACCTTCATCAACTAAACTTGTGATCTCATCAAAAAAACAATACCAAGCTTGTTTAGCAAGTCTTAACGCCCATAAAACCACGTTTAGTGGCATTTATTACTCTACCTTTCCTTTGATTCTTTACTGACCACATCCCATATCCGCTTTTCCAGGATTCTGCCAGGCTAATCAGCCTATAGTTTCCATGGTCATCCCATTTACCCTTTTTAAATATTAGTACAACATTAGCAGCTTTTTTACAGTCCTTTGGCACTTCCCCAGTGATCCAAAACTTGTTAAAATCAACATTAATGGTTCACAGAATTTCTCAGCCAGTTCTTTTACTACTCTTGGGTACAAGTTATCTGCTCCTGCAGATTTAAAAATGTTTAACTCTAATAGCTGCAGTTTAACACCCTTCCTAGTTACTGCTGGCACAGAAAGTCTTTCATTATTATTATTTATTCATCACTGCCCATAATACACTGGGCTCCTTCCAAACAGAGCAGCAGCCCCCCCCCAAGGAGCCTGCAGTCTAGAGATACAGCAAGGAGGGGGCAGGGATGGGGATAAAGGCGCTGCCTCCCATGTAAAGGGCAGCAGGACGCTGGGGAGAAGAGTTCAGGAAACTCAGAAGAGACGAGAGAGGCTCCTGCCGAAAAGACTCAGAGACCAGGGGAGTTGCCCAGATAGGGAGGGCTGGGAGGAGCCGGCTGAAGCAGGGAAGACCCTGAGACACCAGGGGAGTTTGGGGCTGGGCCCAGTTTATGGCTGCAGGGCAGACTTTTGGATTCATTTCTGAACTTTAAACTAATAACCAGTCCCTAAAGAGAGCTGTGGTTACTGGACTTGTAAAAGCCTCTTTTTGTGAATTACTGAGAAATCAAGAAGGGAAACTGAGATGAGGGGCCAGCCTGCGGCCATGAGGGGTGTCCGGGGCGTTGCCAGTGGCACAGGCGGCAGGATCCAAGTGTTCCTTCTGCAGCTTCCGCAGGATCATCTGGCAATCCAGGTAGTGCAGCCGCAGGCACAGAAGGGAGGACAGGGAAATCCCTACCAGCAGGTGGGGAAGATCCTGCTATGCTTTAATATGGGAAACCTGGACACAAGAGTGGAGGGCCCCAGCTGGCAGTGGGATCACTTGTCAGGGGCTAGGGGAAGAGACACGCCAAGGGTGGTGTGGAGGTGGAAGGGCCTGGCCATATGTTTCAAGTGTCAAGTGGTGGGGGATACCAGGAGGGTCTGCTCCTTTAAGAAGTTAAAAAAAGAAGCGGGAAAGAAGAAGAGCAACAGGCCATGTTGAGTATGTCCCCTAAGTGGCACGCTGGATGTGGCCGATGAGGATGAGGCCAGACCAACACCCCCCCAAGAGGTGTTTCAGGCGTGGGAAGGAAGGACGGACCTGCGCTAAAGATGTGGCCTAATGAGATCCAGGACCTTGGCAAAGAAAATGAGGGGGTCGTAAGCAGGAAAGATTTGGCAGGCCGCTAGTATGTTCTCGGAATTGGGCCAGCCCTCTGTGCCCGAGGCGAGAGGAGAGAGTGGGGTGGTGATGGACGCAGTAGCTCCGCCTCCTGCTCGAGAGCAGATGGATTTGGGGCTGTGGGAGAAGGACGCTAAGCCAGAGAGAGGCAGGACCAGAGCAGGGAAGCGCCTCGGGAGTGGCAGGACAGGACAGCTGGTCAGTAAAGGGGTGTAAACACAGAACTGGCAGGAGAGGAGATTAGTGGTTTGCTCTCTTTGAAGGAGACACACCAGAGGGAACGTGCTGCTTTGAAGGAGGACGTGCAGCTGGCCCTACAAGAAAGTGATGAGCTAGCCACAGATAAGCACGGCTTAGCATGGCAAATCAAAATGCTGGTGGACAAGTGGGTGGGCTTCATCTCCAAATAGGGGAGATGGAGGACATCAAGGAGCAAAAATCCAGTTGCTCCATGGCTTTGGCCAGTTGGCGGTATTGCTGTCGGCAAAACAGGCCAGCAAGGAGGGACAGAAAAAACAAAGAAGGTAGAAACTTGCCCTGTGGTTGGGGAAGGGTGAGGTTCTGTAAGGGAGTGGCCTGTCCCTTTAAGGACTGGAGGTCTGGAGCTGGCTGGCTCTGTTCAATGAGCCCTGCCTGCCATACCTGGGAGGAGATGTGGGGTTTCATTAGAACCGGCTGGGAATGGGAGCTGTCCCCCTGATAAAGGGCAGCAGGGAGCGAGAGAGGTTCCTGCAGAGAAGGTTCGGAGGTCGGGGAGTTCCACCAGCTGAGAAGGGCTGGGAGGAGCTGAGATGCCAAGGGAGTCTGGGGCTGGGCCTGGCTTATGGCCGGAGAGCAGACTTTTGTTCCTTTCTGAACCTGAAGTTAATAAACTTCCATAAAGAGGCTGCTGTTATTGGACTTGCACACACCCCTTTTTGTGAGTTATGAGGACCCAAGAAGAGGCCTTGAGCACAAGGGGGGTGGGCGCCTGGGAGGAAGCCACCCCCGCAACAGCAAATGGTTGCTTTCCCATTGGCCCCACGGCTGCCCAGCTCCAGCACAGTGCCTGGATCCTCTGCTCTGTGTGGGAACCTTCCCCCCTCCAACCCACTCACATGTACGCTCACTCCATTCAGAGGGGCCCGCTGCGCTGTATTCTCCCTGGCACACACAGGGGCCTGGCTCCTCTCTCCCAGCCATGCAGGTGTGTACCTACACGAGGCCCCGCCCCCAGCTGGGGCTTACCTGAGCTCTCCCGCTCCAGCCAGGCATTAGGGATGGTGCTGGAGCCTCCCGGCTTGGGCTGGCAAACGAGCAGAGCTCTGACATGGGCACTTGTGCTTCCTCCTCTCTTCCTCCACGCCCTCTTCCCACCCCAGGCGGCCTGTGTCTCCCCTCTTCCCGCCTCCCAGCATGTCTCTCTCCCTTCATCCCACCCCCTCCACCCGTGTCCACGCCTCTTGTCGCACCCCTCGGTGCATGCACGCCTCTGCGTCCTGCCCCGCAGTGTGTGCATCTTTGTCCCACCCCCACCCCCCCCATGTGTGTCTCCCTCTCCACTCCCCCAGTGCCTCTGTCCTTTCTTCACAGCCAAGCCAGGTGGTTCTATCGGTCTCTCTTTGTCCTTTCTCCATGCCTCTCCCAACAACGTGTGCTCCCCCAGCCCAAGCTGTGTCTTTTCTTCGCACCCCTGCCCAGTGTACATGCTGAGGCTTTCCTTCCCCCACCCACTCCCCAGGGTGGGTCTCTCTCCCATGCCAGCCTTCTCCCCACCTCCCCACCCAGTGTATCTCTCTCCCCGTGTCACGTGTCCCTGGTTCAGGGGTGTGCACTCCCCCCTCCCCCACCTATGTGTCCCTGGTTCATGGGTGTGCACCCCCCCCCGCCCAGGTATGTGGAGTCAGACTAGGGCCTCATGGAGGGAACTGACCCAGTTCCTGCTGTCACAGGAAGCAGAGGGGCAGGTAAACCAGCCATTGCCTGCAAAGCAACCATCCCCCAGGCCTCCCAAGGCCACCCCAACCAACGGTACAGCTGTCCTCATTCCCCCGCTGTACCAGAGGCTTCCCTCTCTCAGCAGGCGACAGCAGCGAGGGTAACAGCAGGTCTCATCAGCACAGTCACACTCGCCCCCATTCAGCAGTGCCCAGAAATAGCTCAATCCGCTCTAATCCCACTCTGCAGCTCAGGCCTCCTCAGTGCCTGCCCCCACCCCCAGTTCAGATCAACAGCACAGGCCTCTGGCCAGGCCCCACTCTTCTCCCTGCCTGCTAGCCACCAGAACGTTCCCCCCAGCTCCTGCCACACTCCTCCCCCTGGCAATCAGACAGCCAGTTAGACGTGACATGGGCCTTTGAAAACATTGGGGCCAGATGGACAGTCCCAGAGCCTGAACCCTCCATGCGTCCCCACAGCAGGAGCAAGGCAGCAGCCGGGCAAGCCGTTCCCCCTCACACCAGCCCTGCCCTCCCTCCAGTGGCCCTTCTGCCAGTTAGAGCCAGCACTGGACGTGCACAGGAAACTGGACTGAGACCCACCCAATTCATCACACATGTAGGCCATCAGAGAGTGGGCAGGACCATGCCCCCCTTCCGCAGTTGGTGTGCCTGGCTTCAGACTGTTCCTTACCTTGTGAGTGTCGGGCGTCTCCCTGTCTGGAGCAGTGCTGCTGGTGTCGATAGACCCGTTGGACGGCATCATGGGGAGAGGGGGAGGCTGAGAAGTTTTGCTTTTTTTAAAATAAAATAAACTTTAAAAGTTCAAACTTTAAAAACAAGAAAAAAGTTTAAAAACTGCCCCAGCAGCAATGCCCCGAGCCTTCCTTCCGTCCGTCCGTCCGTCCCCTCCTGCCACCTGTGGGGGAAACACAGAGAAGGGCGCAGGGTGAGGCCTGGAACACCATCGCACACGGCACCCGCAGGCACCAGCTTCAAGCGGCCTCGCCCCCAGCCAGGGACAATTATTAACACGCCGCAGCCTTGACTCAGCTGGGCAGGGGCCCCTTTCCCCCAGCTCCGCCGCCCCACCAGGGTCCTCGCCACCCTGACACCATACTAGCCGGCTCCTCCAGACTCCAAAGGAGAGCCCCCTCGCCCCTCCCTGGCCCCCCGTCAATCCCAAACTCCTGTCCAGGGGCACAGAGTCCTCGTCGTCCGTCCCCCCTCCCTGTCCCAGACAGATGCTGGTCCCCCTCCCCCAGCAGGGGCTGCCCACTGCAGCCAAGCACCTGTTGCTATGGAAAATGCTGCCTGCATTAGCCATGGCCGGGGCTGCTGTTGCCTTTGGCACCAGAGCTGCAAATTGTTTCTAGAGCTTTCCAGCCGCAGCTCGTTTCCAGCCAGGAGGGTGGGGGGCTGCTGGGCAGGCAGGGCTGCTGCTTCTAGACAGAAACTTAAAACCCAGACAATTCTTGTGCCTCTCCCCCACTACAGGCAGGCTGTGGCCTGGGGGGCTGCAGGGAGCGGCCTCTCCCTCCACCTCTCCCCTCCCCACACCTCTGCTCTGTGCAGAGGCCAGGGGGCTGGGTGTCCCCCACAATCAGCCTCTTCCTCTCTGCCCCCCACCCCACACCTCTGCTCTGTGCAGAGGCCAGGGGGCTGGGTGTAGGCAGGAACCAGCCTCTCCCTCTCTGTGCTCCCCACCTCTGTGCAGAGGCCAGAGCCTGGGTGTCCACTGCACTCAGCCTCTCCCTCCCTGTCCGTCTCCGTTCCCGCACCAGCACCTCTGCTCTGTGCAGAGGCCAGGGAGCTGGGTTAGAGGCAGGAACCAGCCTCTCCCTTCCTGTCCGACCCCACCCCCACACATACACATATACACACACACACACACACACACACCTCTGCTCTGTGCAGAGGCCAGGGGGCCAGGCATCCCCTGCAATCAGCTTCCCCCTCCCTGTCTGTCCATTGTCCACACCCACACCCTTGCACATACACACCTCTGCTCTGTGCAGAGGCCATGGGGCTGGGCGCCCCTTGCAATCAGCCTCCCCCTCCCTGCCCCTTCATCCTTAGCAGGAATCTGGGACCAACCAACACTTGGGAGCTGTTTCCCCACTACTGGGAGGTTTGAGCATTCTCTGCAGCCTGAACAAGCAGGGCACCGTCTGGAACAGACCCACCTCTCCTAGGCTGCCCCACCTTCAGCCATACGTCTCCCCTGTGTCTCCAACAACTGTCCCAGCCCCATCTCCCCCTCACTTCCAGACTCATGGGACATGCCAGCTACAATCAATCACCACCTCAAGTTCCTCTATTTCCCCTGGGCTTCCAGCCTCTCCACTCCACCGAAAGATCTCACCAGGGTCTCCTTCAACCTCCTCTTCTGGTCCATTCCCAGAGCTCCACCCCTTCCTCACCCACCTTGCCCTCGCTGCTGCTTTTCACACTGCTGAGCACACTCCTTCTTGACACCTGGGGCTTCCCAGACTCCCTCTCCCCTGGTTCATCTCTGACCATCGCTTCAGGGCTCTCTCTGTCTCCACTCTCCCTCAAGTCTCTTAGGTGCTGCCTTTGTCCCCTGCCTCTTCTCCTTTCACCCCTCCTTCTGGGCGAGCTCATCCACTCACATAGTTTCAACTACCATCTTCACCCCAAAGAGCCACCTCTCCACTCCAGACCTGTGTCCCTTTGTCCCAGCCTGATGTCAGCTCAAATGTACCATGGCCAAACTGAGCTCCTGTTCCTTCCTCCCACCGTCTGTCAGCATGGACACTGTTGCCAAAAGGCCAAGGGCGCCCACCCTAACCAACTCCACGGCTGCCTTTGTGCCCATGCTGATGCCGATTCACATAGGGTGACTGAGACAATAAAGACAGCTTCCCTAGCCATCCATTGGCTGAGACTCCCCTCTCTGCCCCTGCGCTATGCCCCCAAGAGGATCCCCTTCTCTCCAGAAATGGATCCCTTTCCATAGCCTCCCCTACTGGGGCTGCAGGGCCCCCACTGGTGATCCATGTGGCTCAGCAGCTGGGTCTGCACTCTTTTCCCTGCCATGCCCCTCCCCCACAATATCCTTCTTCCCCAGCTCTGCTCACACCCACCCCCCACTCTGTCACAGCAAGTCCTGTGGGGTTTGGAGGGAGCAGAGGGAACAGGAATCTGGTAGCCAAGGGATTAGCTCCCAGCTTCGCTCCTCCTACTGCCTCCTGCCTCAGCAGACAGCGTACCTGGGGGTTGCTGGAAAGGAGTATGGCAGCAGGGGAGGAAACCAGAAGGGAGCTGGGCTATGAGTACAGAATGAGCCCATGACCCACACCTGGATTGCTGGCTGGGACTCAGTGGAACCAAGATGTGGATATGGGGTCATGGCCCAGAGGAGAAGCAGAGATCTTTTGGGAGCTCAGAGGAGACTCTCAGCTGGTGAGCTAGAGAGGTTGGCCAGGCAAGGGAGCTGTCAAAGAGGTCAGTGCAACAACTGCCCTCAGTAAACTGAGATGTGACCCCTGTACATTTTGGGGTGACATTGCAATGCCTCTTGCCTTCCTGACAAGCAGGTGACGCACTCATGTGTGCAACCCGGTGTTTTTCAAGCAACCGGGAGGCAGGAAAACCGGTGTAAGCTTCCCAAGCAGACAAGACCAAAAAGAGCCCTTCTCACCAGCTATTTGTCATTCCCTTCCAAACCCTGCATGACTCCTTATTGACTCACCCTTGCCAAATTCCAGGTGCTTCCCTGCCCCCTCGAATAGCATCAGCCTCCAATGCCCATTCTCAGCATCCCCCACACCTCTGCCCCTTACACCTAGAGTGTGCTCCCCGAGCTCAGCCTGAAGCTCCATCTCTGCTGTGCTGCCTCTGGGCGACACGCTGTGCTAGAGGAGTGCCCGGGGGACTGTTCAAACCTCCCAATGCTGCGTGTGTGTTGTGCCCTGCCCCCTACTTGCTGCATCTCTAGACTGTGGGCTCCTTGAGGTGGAGAGCACCCCTGCTGCTTGGTTTGAGCAGCGCCAGTTGGATGCAGACACCCCGCAGGCAATCCAGCTTCTCAGTCAGGGTGTCTCATCCCTCTGGCCTAGCACCCCCAGGCAATCCAGGTCCTTGGCCAGAGTCTCATGATCCCCAGGGCCCTGCCCCCCATGCTATCTGACTCCCTTGCCAGGGTCTCAACCCTCTCTGGACCTCCATTTCCACACAGTCCAGCTCCACTGTAGGGGTCTTGTGCCCCTTGGGGCCCCTCACCACAGAACACATTCTCCTCTGGTGGGTCTCCCACTCTGTGGGCCCCAGCTGAGCTGCTGGCAACGTTCGCATGGATTTCCAAGTAAGCCTCCCCAAACCCATATGAAACGGCTCTGTCAGCCACTTCTCCCCCCAGATGCAGGGAGCTCTGCCATTAGAAAGGCGTTCCAACACACACATCAGGCCAGCAAATAGCTCAGCACTGCCAGCCAGCCCCCACCCCAGGTCATCCCCAATGTCCCAGAGAAATGGCTCGCTCAGAGCAGCACGCAGCTCCACTCTGAAAAATAGCCAGTTCTCAGGCTTTGATTCGCTTCCAGCAAACATGGTCTCCAAATGCACTAAAAATAGTCGGGCTGCGTAAGAAACACCAGGCAGATGGGGAATATGCAAGGGGGAGCACCGGGAACAACCAGCAATGAAAGCCTCCTCCCCGCCCCCATCCCTCAACAGCCTCACCAACTAACCTCTCCCTTTGCCCTCTGCTGAGCTTTAAATAAAGACAAACACTCTTTTTCAAAGTGAGCCACCGTCCCTCCATTACAGTGGAGTGCAAACACCCCTCTTTCCCCTAGTAACCACAAGCTGCGGCTGTGAGCCCCGTGAGGGAGTGGACTCCCTGTCCAAACAGCGAGGGATCCTGCATCTCTGTCTAAAGGAGGTTTGACAAGGTCCACACAATGTTCCTTACCTCTAAACGTGCAAAGAAACACGACTGAAGCAGGCTACACACATTCAGTGTGGAACCTGTGGGGCCTTCAGAAGTGGCCCATTCACAGCAGCCTTGCCTCGGTCCCAAGCTCTCTGAATAACCTTACCCAAGTCAGTGAGCTCCTCCACTGCTCCCACAACGAGAGCTCGCTCTCCTGATGGCAGCACGCACTTCTCCTCCGGTGCGCTAGCACCCAGATTATTACTGGAGCATCACTAGCAAAGGCTGAGCAGAAGCTTGCAAACTGGAAGAGTTTCACCCAGTTAATACAGCAGGTCTCAAAGCTTGATCTCAAATTAATCCTCTCCTTGCCACCTGCTTGGCTCTCCCACTCACGCACCAGCGCCTGCCTTTGAAGTGTAGGGAAGGACTCTGTCTGCACGTTCCTCTGCTCCTGTATTTAACAGCTCAGTCTGACCTTACAACTGAAGGCAAGTGGGGAAGAAAATTTACCGCACTTCTCCCACAAGGCAGAGCTTGTATGGGACCTGCCAGTCACTCCCACTGACGGCAGAGTCGTTTAAAGTGGGTTACCTTCTATGATACACACAGTGCTGACAAACCAGGGTTTATTAAGGACTCCTCAAGTCCTGCTGTCAGGGTGCTTCAGCCTGGTCGCCTCGCAGAGACCTAACAGGCATTTTATTTCAAGTCATTTCAAAGAGGAGAGCTCAGGAGCCTCCTGCTCCAGCTGTTAATAGTGAGGGCAAGCTTCACCCCGAAGACCAGCACCCCAATGCCCTTTCAGAGACACACATGCAGTGTGCACAGATCGCTGAAATGCAGCCACCTCCAGACTATGGTTACAAATACACAAAAACAACAAGGAGTCTGGTGGCACCTTAAAGACTAATAGATTTATTTGAGCATAAGCTTTCATGGGTCTTTAAGGTGCCTCCTTGTTGTTTTTGTGGATACAGACTAACACGGCTACCCCCTGACACAAATACGCACACAGTCCT